TCGTCTCTCTCTCTCTCTCTCTCTCTCTCTCTCTCTCTCTCTCTCTCTCTCTCTCTCTCTCTCTCTCTCTCTCTCTCTCTCTTCTCTCTCTCTCTCTCTCTCTCTCTCTCTGTCTCTCTTTCTCGGTCTGTTCTGTATGAGATGAATGAGGAATGAATGACAATGCAAAAATGAAATGAAATATTCAAATAAATAGTAGTAATAGTAATAATAATAATAATAATAATAATATGAAATAATACATAGATGAAATGAAATAATAATTAAATGAGAAAAAGAATAAAAAGGAATGATAAACTTGAGGAATTTTATCGATTTATCTCTCATCATGATGCATTGCTCTCTGATGGCGTCGGCCTTCTATGGCAGCCTAGAGGGGATGTGAACCAATGTTGATGACTCACCGCGAATAAATATCATTCACACGTCGTTACAACAGCAATTTACAAACATTTTCTCGTATGTTTTCGTGTTGCAGAGGCGTCGAAAATGGCCGAAGTTGCGAAGATTCAGTTTGAGCAGAAGATCATGGAAAAGGAATCTATGAAAAAGATATCGGAGATTGAGGGTGAGGTTTCGAGCCGGGAAAAGGAAGAATTCATATTCATTAAAATTTGAAAAAGTCTCAAACGATTCGAACTACATTTAGTCAAATGTACATCAAATGCGTGGTGGGAGTGTGATTTGGAGGCGTGGGTGGCTGGGTTGCTCTCACTCAGGTTATTTTGATAAAAGTGGCTCTACAAAATAGTAGTTCTAATCAACATATCGCATCTCTATTTCCAGTCAATTCTGCAGGTAAATCGTAATGAACTTGTGTTGTACAGATTTCGAATTGATGGCATAATATCCCGATAAAAAATCACGCACGAGTCTATCCGTGTGTGACGCCTGCTACTGCTGCCAGAGAGAGAGAGAGAGAGAGAGAGAGAGAGAGAGAAAGAGAGAAGAAGAGAAGAGAGAAAGAGAGAGAGGAGAGAGAGAGAGAGAGAGAGAGAAGAGAGAGAGAGAGCGAGACAGAGAGAGAGAGAGAAGAAGAGAGAGAGAGAGAGAGAGAGAGAGAGAGAGATGAGAGAGAGAGAGATGAAGGAGAGAGAGAGAGATGAAGAAGAGAGAGAGATGGAGAGAGAATATGGAGAAAGAGAGAGATGGAGAGAGAGATGGAGAGAGAGAGAGAGGAGATGGAGAGAGAGATTGTGAGAGAGAGATGGAGAGTAGACGAGAGATAAGAGAAAGAGATGGAAGAGAGAGAGAGAGATTGGAGAGAGAGACTAGAAGAGAGATAGAGAGAGAGAGAGACAAGAGAGCGATAGGGAAAGGGAAAGGAAAGGGAAAGGGAGAGAGAGGTTAAAGAGAGAGAGTTTTATAAACAAAACAAGAAACTGAGGGATGGTAAGAGAGAAAGAAAATAAAAGAGAAAGGAATAGCGAAAGAAGTCGACATAAAAGAGAGAAAGAGAGAGCGCACACAATGAAAAAAAAGCAGCCAACGACGTCGGGGTATTGTGAGAGATAAGTGAGTGAGAGAGAGATAAGACACCATGCAGAGAAACCTCAGCCAGGGCAAAAGGAGGAAAATGACAACAAGTCAGTATTACAATGATTACGATTATCTAGGCCTTCACAATAATTTCTACGTGCGTCACGCCCCAGCCTGCGCCAACAACACCATTCCTCTAGGAAATGCCACAATGCTAACATGTTACATGGCCACCAACTAAAACCACCCCACCACTGCACCGACCACCGGCGCCCGGTGCGCTCCCCGCCAGCGCCTCTAGTGCTCCCAGCGCCCGCCCGAAAGCCACCGTGGCCGCTAGGTGGTTCCCGCATGCCGCGCCCTGGTGGCTCCCCGCGCGCCCCGGTGGCTCCCGTCCGCGCGCCGCGTGGCTCCCCGCCCGCGCTTCCAGGAGGGTGGCTCGCTCCCGCCGCGCCCTATGCCCACCGTGCCCATGGTGGGTGGCTCGCACGCCGCGCCGGTGGCTCCACGCGCGCCGGTGCTCCCCGCCGCGGCCCCTCGCCGCGCCCGGTGGCTGCCCCGCCCGCGCCCACCACCGTGCCCGTGGCTCCCGCCGGCGCCCGGTGGCTCGCGACCGCCGGCGCCCGACCAAACCGTGCGCTGGCTTCCCGCGCCGCGCCCCAGGGTGGCTCGCTCCGCCGCGCCTATGGAAGGCCGGCCGCGCCCCGTGGCTCACCCCGCGCCCCCACCGTGGCCGCGGTGGCTCCGCGCCGACCGCCCGGTGCGCTCCCCGCCGCGCCCCCCGCGCCCGGTGGCTTCCAAAGCTGCGCCGGCC